ATCCCCACACACCTCTTGTCAACAGGAGCTACAGAGGTTCATTGTGTGGTCTGTGTGTGTGTGTGTGTGAGAGAGAGAGAGAGATCGCAAACGACATATTAGCAATCATTTCCAACTTTAGGATAACTGGGGGAGGGGACATCAGGCAAAGAATGGCTGCCAGGAAGAAAATGATAGATTCTATGGTTTGGGTAGAATGGGTAAGCGGAAGTGTGGAGAAGAACTTGATTCTGAATCCCTCAAGCAATGCCCAAATGGTTCATCCATAGAATGGATGTGGATCTGCAAACTCCTCATCACACGCCTGTGACAGGTCAGTCGCTGCCATCATTTTCCCCTTGGGATACTTCCTGGAGCATAACACAAACACCCGGAAGTGTCCGCTGGGATCACACCTTCACCGTGACCGATGCTAGACAGGCAACAGATTTGACGGTCAGCGTGGAGTTTCCAGAGGATATCCCAGTCTTGGAAGCTGGCCGGCCTTCTTCCCACAGGCCGTGAGGAAGGTGATGAGGATGAAGGCCCCTCTCCCCCTCCCCCTCCCCCTCCCCCTCCCCCTCCCCCTCCCCCCCCACCCCCCCCCACCCCCCCTACCCCCAGCCCCCCCCCCCCCGTCTCCAGGGTAGGCTCGATGACTCGAGCATCTTCAGCAGTGTTATCTCATTAGGGAGGAGGTGTACGTGATGCACTTTATTTCCTTGTGTACACAATGTAATTTATTACCAGGAGTTATGCAACACTCAAAGAACAGCAAGTTCCGGGCCTGTGAAGAAGCCATCGGGAAAGGAAGCAAGCATTCGCTAAACACCCAGTGCGCACACCTGCACAAAGTTAATCCCCATTACGGAGATAGATCCGTAGGTAGGTAGGGAGATAGATAGATAGATAGATAGATAGATAGATAGATAGATAGATAGATAGATAGATAGATAGATAGATAGATAGATAGATAGAGACATTCAGACAGATAGATAGATAGATAGATAGATAGATAGATAGAGACATTCAGACAGATAGATAGATAGATAGACAGATAGATAGAGACATTCAGACAGACAGATAGATAGATAGATACAATCAGACAGATAGATAGATAGATAATCAGACAGACAGATAGATAGACAGATAGACAGAGACAGCCAGACGGACAGACAGACAGACAGATAGATATCAAGGTGACCCACACACTCATTGAGCGCCAGTCCTTGGTCTCCAGCAGCCTCTCCCCGCTTCCCTCCCCCCCTCAGGGAGTGGGGTCCCCCGGGGTCTGTGTCCATTCTCATTTCCTTCTGCGCAGCCCAGAGCTTGATACAGTGGGAGAGCCCAGGTAAACATTTGCTGAGAGAAAGTCAATCTTAACTTCCTTCCCGGAATATCCACACCAAGTCCTCTTTTATTCACCACACACACACCCCTGCACGCACGAGCGAGCGGTCTCACGCGCCTCTGCCCCAATAACGCACTGGTGCATCGTGTGTGTCACAGCCTCATCCGCTTCCGAAGTCGGAGAATGGACTCTCACGTCGCGATTAGACACAGATGCGCCGCTGCGAGGGCTGGGCGTGGGTGTCGTACGTGCGTGGAACTCAGCTTAACTCATGAGGGCCTTCGGTAATAGAGAGACGCAACGTGGAAATGTTCTGGGCTCAAGAAGCACAAAAAGAGCTTCTAGCTTAACTGAAGTTAATGTAGTTCCTAGCCAAGAAGTGTTTCTAAAGAACACTGCAAAGAAAATAGTTTTAGGGGGGGAAAAAAAGTAAGAAGAAGATGATGAGCGTGTTCTTCTTCCACAATCAGAAACTTTAGTTCAATACCTGGGGGACAACAGCAAAGACTCCAGGCTCAGACAGTGGCTCGAGCAGAAGCCTTTTGCCTTCCGAGAGCCGTCAGACTTTACACGCCAGCTTTCCGGAGCACACGAATCTCTCACGGACGGAGAGGGAAAGAAATGACTCTGGCAGGTGTTAGTGAGAAAGTTCCCACCGCGCAGGCTGCCGCGAGCGGATTGGGCTAGAGCTCAGGAACGCAGAGCCTCACGGGTGAGCCCCGCACTCCACCAGGGAAAACAAGTCCATAGCAGTCAGTCCAACGGAACTCACAGAGAGAGAGAGCCAACGTCTTTTCCAAGCTTATCTATCCCTCCGAGTATCTCCTAGTTTGTACTTCTCCCTTTGACACCAGTTCCTGGTTTAATCCACAGGAACCTTCTTCTCACAGCTGATCTTCAGGCCAAGTGGGAAAGGCTCTAAAGGCAAGAATAGATCTAGCAACAAACCACAGAGCCACTGTGCTTGGGTAACAGATATGCTAGTACCCGCGACTGAACATTTACTGTAGACTAGGTAACCCTGCTGTCTATGCTCAGGAGATAAGACCATGCACGAGGCGCCCCGGGGACATGGGTGGTGTGCTGATACACCATCGTTGAGGTTCACAGTGTAGTCAGGGCTGACACATTCACAGCTGGCAAGGTCACATTCAAGGTGAGGTGAACAACTGCTGCGGGCCGCGGCGTTTGAAACTGTACGAGGTGCCAACAGGCGTGCGTGGCTCTGTGTGTTTGCACTGTGCGTGCAAGGCGTTTGTACGTGTTCTGTGTCTGAATGCATGGTGTCTGCGTGTTGCGTGTGTGTGCATGCATGCACACGTACTCAGCCACTCGCGAGAAGGCTGGCAGGTGCTCCCCAGACAGGCGTGCTGACCGCAAGAGAGGCCCTCCCCTCCCCTGCCACGCCGAAAGGGGACTTCGTGTCGCACGGGCAGCAAGCAATCACAGCCTTCCCCACCACCGCAGACATTTTCTGCAGGTGGCTGTAATGCTGAAGGATCTGAGGGCTGGGAAGGTAGCTCAGGGGTAGAGCGCGCGCCTCGCATGCATGAAGCCCTGGGTTCGATTCCTCAGCACCACATAAGCAGAAAGAGCCAGAAGTGGCGCTGTGGCTCACGTCGTACAGCACCAGCCTTGAGCAAAAGAAGCTCAGGGACAGCGCCCAGGCCCTGAGTTCAAGCCCCAGGACTGGCAAAAAAAAAGAATCTGGGCCTGGGAAGTAGACAGCCAGCTGCCATCCTGCACATTCCTTCACTCAGCACCAAGCAGCTATGATCCCTAAAACCGAGGTAAACTCTGACCTTTGGCATGGAGAATGAAGAGCTCAGTACAAACGTTTAGATCAAGGAACGGCTTGTAAATACTGCCTAGGAGATCTGACCACTGTTCTGAACACTCATTTTGTACTGAAAAAATAATGCAGACAGATAGATGGATGATAGATATCGATAGCAGAGGCAGACAAACTGACACAGATAAGAGTGAGACAGACACACAGACACAGAGAAGATAGAGATAGAGATACAGATAGACAGATGTAAAGGTAGACAGACAGACAGACAGACAGACAGACAGACAGACAGACAGACAGACCAACAAAGAACTAAGCTGGTGATCTTTTCATGGAGGTAAGCCAAGTTCAAAAGGACAAAGGCAACATGTACAGATTTTTCTTTTCTATTTTAATATGGAGTGGAAACTCCCTGAAAATAATGTCGGGTTTGGGGTTTGGTTTTTCTCGTTTTGTTTTGGTTTTATTTTTTGCTAAATTATCAGCAATCTGGCTTCCTTTTCCTGGGACTCCAGGTCCCACTGTCCCTGCGCAGATCAGGACCGGGAAGAGAGCAGAAGAGGCCGGCTTCTGCTCCTGGCCTGGCCCGGAAAGAACTGGCGTTGGGCAACCTTGTCCTGTCTCATGCCGGATGCCGGCCCAAAGGTAATTGCCGGACAGCACTTCCCGTAGCTGGGGTTTGGCAATGACATCATGGAGAAACCCTTAAACACCAGAAAGAACCCCCCATTCTCACATGCCCCTAATTATTTTTCTTGTGGTGTTACTAACATTTGGGGGTTGGCCTGATTCTCTCTCTCTCTCTCTCTGTTTCCTCTTTCTCTGTCCACCTCCAGCCTCTTCTCAATCTCAGGCCTTTGAGGAAATCTCCAGCTGCCTGCTGACGTTGAGGGCCAGCAGGGCGGGCGGGCAGGACAGCGTGTGGAGGAGGACGCGGGAAGGAGCTCCCACCGCTTTATTTCTCCCCAGCCTCGGCCTCTGCATTGTCTCCGTGGCGATCTCACTGCTGCTTTTGCAAACAAGCAGTCCAAAAAGAAAAACCAAAACCAACCAACCAACCAAACAAACACCCCCTTCCCAGGAATTCCACCAAGAGGTGCGCGTGGTGGAGACCGAAGTCACACTCCACACCTGCCCCGGAGCCTACGCAGAAGGTGGACGTTGAGGCCGAGAAACTCGGTCTCTCCTCCTTCCTCCTCCCCCCCCTTCCTCCTCCCCCTCCCCCCCTCCCCACACGGAGCCGGGATGAGGCAGGACAGGGCCAGGAAGTTCCCGCAGCCCCAACCAGGGGATTGGCCTGCTGCTAGCAACACTCCACACCCAGGGCAAGCCGTCCTGAGAGGAGGGGGAGGAGGGGGAGGAAGAGGAGGAGGAGGAAGAGGGGGAGGGGAGGAGGGGGAATAAGGCCGAAGGACAGGGGAAGGGCAGCCCCGCCTCCTGCCCTGCCTGGCCGCAGCTGCCCTGGCAGCCCCCTGTGCTCAGAGGAGGAAGGAAGTCCTGTCCCCAACAAGCCAGAAAGCGAAACCCACAGCGGGCGCCCAGGCGGACTTGCTGTGCTCCATCGCTGCCCCAGGTAACCCCGCCGGCTCTGCGCCTCCGCCGCTGGACCCAAGCTGCCCAGGCCCAGGATTCCCAGACCACGGCTCCCAGCCGACCTCACAGACTGGGGTCAGGGGCTCTGGGCTCAGGGGCTCTGGGGTCAGGGGGACTAGGGTCAGGGGGATTGGGGTCAGGGGGACTAGGGTCAGGAGGATTGGGGTCAGGGGCTCTGGGGTCAGGAGGGCTGGGGTCAGGGGGACTGGGTTTAGGAGGATTGGGATCAGGGACTCTGGGGTCGGGGGACTGGGCTCAGGAAGACTGGGGTCAGGAAGACTGGGGTCAGGAGGCGGGGGTCAGGGAGACTGGGCTCAGGGGGTCTGGGCTCAGGGGGTTGGGGTTAGGAGGGCTGGGCTCAGGGGGGCTGGGGTCAGGAGGGCTGGGGTCAGGAGGGCTGGGCCCAGGGAGGCTGGGCTCAGGGTGACTGGGCCCAGGGGGGCTGGGCTCAGGGTGGCTGGGCCCAGGGGGGCTGGGCTCAGGGGGGCTGGGCCCAGGGGGGCTGGGCTCAGGGGGACTGGGCCCAGGGGTGCTGGGCTCAGGGGGGCTGGGCCCAGGGGGGCTGGGCTCAGGGGGGCTGGGCTCAGGGGGACTGGGCCCAGGGGTGCTGGGCTCAGGGGGACTGGGCCCAGGGGTGCTGGGCTCAGGGGGGCTGGGCCCAGGGGGTCTGGGCCCAGGGGGGCTGGGCTCAGGGGGACTGGGCCCAGGGGGGCTGGGCCCAGGGGGGCTGGGCTCAGGGGGTCTGGGCCCAGGGGGGCTGGGCTCAGGGGGACTGGGCCCAGGGGTGCTGGGCTCAGGGGGACTGGGCCCAGGGGGGCTGGGCTCAGGGGGGCTGGGCCCAGGGGTGCTGGGCTCAGGGGGTCTGGGCCCAGGGGGGCTGGGCTCAGGGGAGCTGGGCCCAGGGGGGCTGGGCTCAGGGGGGCTGGGCCCAGGGGGGCTGGGCTCAGGGGGACTGGGCCCAGGGGTGCTGGGCTCAGGGGGACTGGGCCTAGGGGGGCTGGGCTCAGGGGGTCTGGGCCCAGGGGTGCTGGGCTCAGGGGGTCTGGGCCCAGGGGGGCTGGGCTCAGGGGGACTGGGCCCAGGGGTGCTGGGCTCAGGGGTGCTGGGCCCAGGGGTGCTGGGCTCAGGGGTGCTGGGCCCAGGGGGGCTGGGCTCAGGGGGACTGGGCCCAGGGGGGCTGGGCCCAGGGGGACTGGGCTCAGGGGGTCTGGGCCCAGGGGGGCTGGGCCCAGGGGGACTGGGCCCAGGGGGGCTGGGCCCAGGGGGACTGGGCCCAGGGGTGCTGGGCCCAGGGGTGCTGGGCTCAGGGGGACTGGGCCCAGGGGGGCTGGGCTCAGGGGGACTGGGCCCAGGGGGGCTGGGCTCAGGGGGACTGGGCCCAGGGGGGCTGGGCTCAGGGGGACTGGGCCCAGGGGGGCTGGGCTCAGGGGGTCTGGGCCCAGGGGGGCTGGGCTCAGGGGGACTGGGCCCAGGGGGGCTGCGCTCAGGGGGGCTGGGGTCGGGGGGGCTGGGGTCAGGAGGGCTGGGGCTGGGGTCAGGAGGGCTGGGGCTGGCGTCAGGAGGGCTGGGCCCAGGGAGGCTGGGCCCAGGGAGGCTGGGCTCAGGGTGACTGGGCTCAGGGGGGCTGGGGTCAGGGTGACTGGGCCCAGGGGGGCTGGGCTCAGGGGGGCTGGGGTCAGGGGGGGCTGGGGTCAGGAGGGCTGGGCTCAGGGGGGCTGGGCTCAGGGTGACTGGGCCCAGGGGGACTGGGCCCAGGGGGGCTGGGCTCAGTGGGGCTGGGCTCAGGGGGGCTGGGCTCAGGGGCTGGCCCAGTGGAGGAAGCCCCCCCTTGGCGGGCAATGGACGGAGCCACCCCCTGCAATCCAGCCGTCCATCAGAGAAGAGCTGGCCGGTGTTAGAACCGTGCCCATGGCCCGATTGTGGTGGGCATTCTAGAACTGGGAGGGAAGCCCAGCATGGAGCGGGCTCCCAGGGGAAGCCCCCCAGCCCCCGAGGGGGTGCCCTGGGCTCACCCCGCGCCCACCGCCTCCCGTCCAGGTCTCCCAGCATCTTCCTCTCCGGGGTCCCCCGTCCCTCCTCGCCTAAGGCCTGGGGATTACAGGACTGGCCTGGGCTGGGGTGGGGGGCGCAGTGTCAGCTCAGAGCCGCACCCCAGGCCGCACAGAGCCCCCCGCGGAGGCCCCGGTCATCTGCCACCTCCTGCTCCCTCAGGGGCCCAACCGTGGTTCTACTCAGGCGCCATTATTCCTGGAATTCGGGGGGTAGCCAGCAGCCCCATCCCCTCCGGCTCTAGAAACAAGTAGGTCTGGGAGGTGAGCAGCACTGACCGCTGTTTAGATCTTTGAACCATCAGCCAATGCCAGGACCTGACAATGAAGGAGAGGGCTGTTTTTTTTTTTTATTTTCCCCCCCTAGGAGACTCTAGAACATTCCATACCTGGCACCCCATACCCAGGACACCAGGGCGCGGAGGAATGTTGACGGTTTTCTTTTCCCTATACTCTCTCTGTGTTTTTATTCTTTGCGCTTGAGCATATTTTACAGAACGCATTTGGTTATCTTCATTGTTGGTCTCTGGGGTGTCTTTGGGTACCGGGCTGGCCAGAGCCTGCACGCTGTAGATATTAAAGGAACACACCCAGCACAACACCCAGGTTTTGTAGGGAGCGAGCAGGTGATAGTGACGTGTATGTGCACAGAGCTTTCGGAGCCCCTGCGACAGATGGCTGGGGCTGAACCCCAAAGCCGGCATTCACCGCGGAGCTTTGGATCTTCCCAAGTTTCGTTTTTATCAGACAGTGACCTCAATCTTCCCTCACCTTGGGAAACCCAAACAGCCACAGGAGTCAACGGAAAACCCAAGGCTCTTCTACCTTACTGAGAAATTAACCCTCCTTCATTGAGTATTGTTAAGATGCCCTGGGATACTTGCTAACAGAAGTGTTAGGTCTTCTTTGTGTGCTGGCCCTGGGGCTTGAACTCTGGGTCTCTGAGCTGGACTTGAGCTTTGAGCCACAGCTCTACTTGTGGCTTTGTGGTGGTTCACTGGAGGTAAGAGTCCCACTGACTTCCTTGCTGGGGCTGGCTTTGAACCTCAACCTTCAGATGTCAGCCTCCTTGGGATTACAGGTGTGAGCAACAGGTACCTGGCACTCTCTCTCTCTCTCTCTCTCTCTCTCTCTGTCTGTGCAAATAGGGATCTGAGGCTCAAGGATATGAATCATGATTACTTCAACAAGGTTAGTGAACATTATATCGCATCAGAAACAAAAGCAAAGCCGTTTTCTCCCCGAGGGTTTATTCCTCTTTCGACCGAGGAAATGAAACCACCCCGTAACAGAGAACACGAAGCGGGTCGCAGACTAAGCGGAACGCAACCCAAGCTACTACTGTCTCAGATTCTCCCCAGTTAGGGGGAATCGTTTTTTTTTAATTCAAGTGACACTATAAAGTAGTATTCTTTTTTTTTTTTAATACACTTGTTTTGTTTCCTTCACCCTTGCACACTGAAGTAGGGCTTTACAGCTGGACTTTGGGTGACAGGAACATTTATAATTTATAAATGTATAAAACATGCTATGAACACTATACAACACTTATAATCACACACACACACACCCAGTCTCTGCACGGGGCAGGCGCATTTTACAGGGACAAATGCTGTGAATTTGGAGGCCCACCAGCCTGGTCCTTCCCACATGCATCAGTCTCCGAATCCTCCAGACGTTACCTCGACCTCCCATGAATGCAGGCGATCGATTTACAATCAGGGCCTGACCAGCACAGGGAGAATTCCCGCCCTCTCCTGACATCTCTTATTTTATTGGGAGGAAATTACACAGCTAGAGATCAGGTCTTTTAGTGTTATTTTTTTTTTTAAATAGCAGTAGGGTTTTTTGTTGGTGGTGGTAGTGGTCGTGGGCTTTGAACTCTGGACCTGGGCGCTGTCCCTCAGCTCTTCAGCTCAAGGCGAGCACTCTACCCCTTGAGCCACAAGGCCAGTTCTGGCTTTTTCTGCTTATGTGGTGCTGAGGAATCGAACCCAGGGTCTCAGGCATGCAAGGCAAGCGCTCTACCCCTGAGCCACCTTCCCAGCCCTGTTTTTATTTATTTATTTATTTTATGTAGTAGAATGAAATAAATATCACCTTTGGCTTGAGGAGAGTCGGTCTGGTGTCTCCTGTGCTTGGAGTGGGTAGACCTTTTATCATCTTTTTTCTTTTTGTTTCTTTTGGTCATCCTGACAAATAGCCTAAGTCTGTTTATACCTACTCTGTAGGCGTTGTCATTGTACAATGCTCCAAAAAATGCTTTTTGGCTCCAGGCTTCACTCCCTGTGTGTGTGTGTGTGTATGTGTGTTAACCTCTCCCCCCTAGGAGGTTTTACAATCCACAAACAGCCCAGATCGGCTATGAGGATGTAGGATCTTCACAGAACGGCTTTGACAGCAGACACATGCTGGTGTTTATATTATGTATTCCTCTCCATTTCCTCCCTCTCTCTCCTGTGGTAGAGTTAAGAAGAACAGATGTCGTGTTCGGATTATATGTTGAAATTCTGCTTGTTCCTCAGTAATTGTGCATATTCAATATTATCTTACTACAGATTGTTTTTCCCTCACTTTGGGCATATCATAATTTCCTCTTTCTCTTTCCCCTGACATCTTTCTAGAACTTTTCTCTTTTCAAAAGAGTTGTCAAATCCGCCCTTCAAAATTATTTTGAGCTGGGCCCAGATGTGGCTCACGCCTGTCATCCTAGCTACTCAGGAGGCTGAGATCTGAGGATCATGGTTTGAGGCCATCCCGAGCCGGGAAGGAAAGTCTAGGAGACTCTTATCTCCAATGAACCACCAGAGACAGCACCCAGGCCCTGAGTTCAAGGCCCAGGACCAGCACAACAGCACCAAAACATACACGATCAGAATAAATGATGAGTTAATTCAACCTGAGACAAAGCAAATCACTTCTATCATGGAGCAACCCAGGCCTCAGAAGAGATCCACTGAAGGACCAGAAGGGCTAGTGATGCCAATTCCATTCGGCAGTGGTTTGGGGGCAGAATAATTACTCCTGCTCACTCACGTAGTGTAGCACCCACAGTAAGGGCACCAAACAGACAAAAACATGCACAGAGGGCTTTTGAGAGCCTGGAAGTTTCCCTTTGGATCTCTAAGGAGGGAGTGAGCTCAAACTCCAGGAGAAGCAAATCTCGTGGGCTGCAGCTGGGACTCATCGAGACCTAGCGCCCACAAGACAGCCCCCAGACGTCAGACCCCCAGAGCA